GTATGGAGATTCCTCAAAAAACTAAAAAGAGAACTACCCTACGACCCAGCAATTGCACTACTAGGCATTTATCCACGGGATACAGGTGTGCTGTTTGAAAGGGACACATGCACCCCCATGTCTTTAGCAGCACTATCAACAGTAGCCAAAGTATGGAGAGAGCCCAAATGTCCATCGATGGATGAATGGATAAAGAAGATGTGGTATATATATGCAATGGAGTGTTACTCGGCAATCCAAAAGAATAAAATCTTGCCATTTGCAACTACGTGGATGGAACTGGAGGGTATTATGCTAAGTGAAATTAGTCAGAGAAAGACAAAAATCCTATGACTTGACTCATATGAGGACTTTAAGAGACAAAACAGATGAACATAAGGAAAGGGAAACAAAAATAATCTAAAAACAGGGAGGGAGACAAAACAGAAGAGACTCATAAATATGGAGAACAAACTGAGGGTTATGGGAGGGATTGTGGGAGGAGGGGATGGGCTAAATGGGTAAGGGGCACTAAGGAATCTACTCCCGAAATCACTGTTGCACTATATGCTAACTAATTTGGATATAAATTTTAAAAAATAAAAAATAAAACAAGTTAATAAAAAAAATAAATCTAAAAACAAATACAATTTAACAACAACAAAAAAGAAAACAGTTACATAAAAATAAAATATTACAAAATATGAAAATTGTCTAACAGTTAAAAGTTTAGAGAGAGAAGCCCTATGATAAAAAATTAATAATTAATAATTTGATAGTATGCCATAATTAAAATTCTAGACTATGCAATCTTCTAGATCGAGCGGGGAAGTGGGGTAGGTGGGAAGCAGGAGGAATCAAAGTTCACTAACTGGGGGAGTCAGATATCGTTTCATTACGAGGCCAATAAATTGAGAAAGAAGCTTAGTTTAGTATCTGAAATAATAAATCACTAGAAAAATGAAAATCAAGTTATATATCTTTCAAATCATCTGTGAGAGAAAAAAAACACAAAGAAAACAGAACCAGTAAACAAAAAATGTAGAGACACACAAGACTGAAAATTTCTGTTAAAACAAAAACTTAAATGGTATAAAGTCACTTATTAAAAAATACAAGGATTAGGAGTGCCTGGCTGGGTCAGTCAGCATGTGACTCTTGATCTCAGGGTTGTGAGTTCAAGCCCCATGTTAGGGAAGGGAAGGGAATGGAAGGGAAGGGAAG